ATTAATTTTATTAGTTGAAAGTAAATTTTTATCAATTAATAATCAATTAATAATTAATTAATAGAATTAACGAAATATTATAAAATTAATTCTGTTAACTTTGTTAGCTGAAAGAAAATTTTTGTAATTTAGTAGTCAATTAATAATCACTTAATAGAGTTAACAATCAATTAATAAAATTAACAAAATATTATAAAGTAAAAATTATTTTCTTTAATTTTAATAAATAAAAAATTAAAAGTGTCATTATATAAAATAAAAATATAAAACTTATAAATTTAATAAAATAAAAAATTATAATATTATAATATAAAATAAAATACTAAAATCTACAACTTGATAATGAGAGGCTAAAAGTAACCTTTTGCCTAGGAGTTATTTTTGCGGCAATCTCTCTTTTGCCCTCTTCTTTGTCCCTCTCACGCCGGTCGATCACCATTGTCTATTGATAAGTCTCAAACTTATCTTTTCTCTTTCTTTCTCCATTAGCGGTCACTCAGATCCCTTTCTCTCTCTCATTTGCAGCTAGTTCGACATATTTGTTCTTCTTCCGGCGACGATCTACTAGTCTTGTCTTCCATTCCAGTGAGCTTACACTTATTTGTGTGGAAGGTGATTCACCGAATGCTTGTGGTATTCCTATGTTAAGATAATTTATATGCTTAATTGCCTTTTTGAATTTGTGGATTGTTTCCCGCATTTTTTTATGCTATTGAAATTCCTGTTTATGGGGTGTATCTGGATTTTTAAAAGTTAAATGTTAATTTAAGTCCCTCAACTTAATATTTTACACAATATTTATCCTTTAATTTTTTTAATATTTTTTTAGTCTCTTAACTTTGACAAATACACATTTTTAGTCTTTTTGTCAATTAATTTATTAAGTTTATCTGAATATATTTTTAGTCTCTTAACTTCTAATATATGCACATTTTTCGTATTTGGACTAAAAATATGCAGATTTAGATAGGTTTAATGGATTAACTAATGGAAAACTAAAAAAGTGCATTTTTCATAGTTAAGGGATCAAAATAGTGAAAAAAGTTGAGAAATGAAAATTATGCAAAACTTTACAGTTGAGGGATCAAAATTAGTATTTAACCATATTTAAAGGATTGAAAATAACCTTTGTGTTTTGCTTTAAATGTTGTTTTTTCTTTCTTTTCATAATACATTTTGTTTTACTATTTAATTTTAAATTCCGGTTTAATCAAGTTTTGAGAATGCTCTATATTTTTAGTTGTTCTACTAGTTCTCTTCCTGAGTGAATTTTAATGTTATTGATGTGTGTGTTCAAATTTGAATGATATGGTTTGTGGTGATGGATTCATTATAGATTATCTTGTTCGTTTTTTACCCTAAATATGTTTGTTTTGGATGATAAATGCTCAAGTGATGTGTGGTGATCTTAATACATTTCTTGGCTTTCTCTTGTTTATACTTTTCCAATCATGCATGATCAGTGGTTGATTTGCTTAAAGGGTATTTGTTTATTTCTGAAGTTGTGTTCTAATCTGAATGATTGTAGATTAAATAAAAAGAACTTAGAAGTTGTAGATGGTAGTCATATAAAAAGAAATCAAGAATTAATTTAAATTGCTTGAATTTGTTGAAAGGTCCAGAAGTGTATATAGGTAAATCTTCATTTCCATGAAGATGAGTGCTTGGGATAGAAGTTTTACATTTTGGGTAGACAAGAAGTGCTCGCCTACACAGGGGAATGGGCAAAAGGAGCCTTAACAAACAAGTCAAGTTAGGACATATATTCCCTTTCTGCTTGAAATTGTTAAGAAAGAATGCAACATTCCCATAAAAAAGGTCAAGATGACTGGTATATTTTTCGGTCCTCACAAAGGACCTATTTTGTTGGTAAATCTCAATCTTTCTTGGAAAATTCAGATATAGAAACTATTGTTAATGGTAATTTTACTTTAATTTTTTTCTTTCTTGATTTAGGTCTTAGTTTTCTATGCGACAAATATGCTAGTTATATAGAGTTATCTTTCTAAGAATCTGCATATCTGATAACCTATGCTTAGCCACATATTTATGGTAACCATATGAAGAAAGAAATCCTGCAAGGGAGAAAAAGGGGGTTTATTGTTGTGGTGGATCCATCCTTGGTTAGCCTTTCCAGTATACTTTACATGTAATGGTATTGGCATTATTGTCAGATAATTCTTTGTGTGAGAAAGAGTTTGATAGTAGTTTTCTTCTGATATTTATTAGTGGTACCTGCAAAGTTTTGATATCATTTGTGTCAATGATGAGAATTCTTTGATTTGATGGTTCTGGAAGTCATGATAACTTGAAAGAGTAGGTTAAATCATGTTAAACAACTCAAACTGTAACTTTGGTTAGTTATATATGCTTCTTTCTATAAGAACCAGATAACAACTACTTCTGATATGATTGGCATGAAATCCTTCTTCTAGAAACTTTCTTTCTCCTCCTATTTTAGAAGAGCTGTAAAAGAATGTTTTGTATGGTCATTACATGTCATGTTAATGTTAGGATTATTCATTACTGTAGGCAGAATTACTGTCTTTATCTATGAATTGTTTCAATCTTGGCATCCATATTACAAGTGATTTAGGAAGCTACCTTGTGAACTTTTATATTAATTATTTTGGTGACCAGGCATGTCAATTTCACCATTAACTTTTTATGTATTTTCTTTAAATTGTGTTCTTTAAGATTCAAATATGATAATTTTTTTATAAATTATTTTAATAAATTTGACTTTAGATTGTTCTTTTTATATTATATAAATTGAGTATTTTTGGTAGACATTTTAATAAATTATTCTGATAAATTAATATATATTTTTAGGTTAATTAAGGGCATTTTTTCCCTTGTATACAAAACCTGTTGATCATTGAAAATTTTCTAATATTTTTCATGCTGGCAAAATCTAGTGAATTTAAAAATTTTCAAATATTTTGCACTATGGGCATTTTTGTCCATATATATAAGTTAGGAAATTATGCTATGTAATTTTGCCTATTGGCAAACAAAGTATGGGATAAATTTTATATCCAGTCCTATGGAATACCAAACATAAGATGGGACTTTTTTTATTATCTTCTCTAATCCAATTCCTTCCCATTGATTTTATAGAATCCAATCCAATCCCATCCTGCATTCCAAACCTGCCCTAAATACATGTAGATATATATAAGCAGAGGTCTTGCCCTTAAGACTACATGCAATTCATTCCTTCAAAATCAGTTTGTTTGTCTGCAGCAACTTACTAAGGAAGCATGAAGGCTAATCTGGTTCAACCAGTTCCATTTGTAAGTATGTTTTGTTTTTACATACCTCTGTATCCATGAATGTTCTTAAGCGCATAGACATGGTTCTAAATTAATATGGTTACCAGAAATGATATATGATCACCTGCCTCTTCTCCTGTTAAATCTTTTGTTATTTTCTTTTTGTGGCAAAAAAAAAAAAAAGGCTTTTATATATGCATGGTTAAGCATTTTGTACAGCGTAACTCAGGAGTAGTTCCATGCATGATTGTGCAGCCTGAGGTTCATAAAGAAGATAATTATGAAAGGTGGCACATTATCATGCAACACTATTTAGTGGCTCAAGACCTTTGGGATGTGGTTCTATCCAGCGAGATGCCTGATGGAGAAGACCCAAGGGAGTGGATTAAAAAGAATGCTTTAGCTCTGTATGCAATTAAGATTTCATGTGAAGCAGAAAAGTTCGATCAGATTAAAGATATTAATTCGGCCAAAGATGCTTGGAATGCATTGGCTGACTTGCATAAACAACCAAATGAAGATGGGAACAAAGATACAGGTTTATTCTCCATCTCTACATATCCGTCTAAAACATGGAGTACACTCCTCTTTGCTGTTTCTTAATTTTAATATTGCCTAAGATAAGAAATATTCATATCTTACAATCCTTGGTAGGAATCAAGACTGTTGAAAGGAAACAAGCCGTGACATTGCTCAAGGACATAGAAAAGGGGGATTCTGATGCTGTAAAGAAACTCTTGGAAACACATTCTTCATATTCTGCAAGAGCATTAGAAAACGGTTCCACTGCTCTTCATGTAGCAATTACCGCTGGCAAGATAGAGTTGGCTAAGGAACTGACTTCGGTGATGTCAGAAGCAAGGGAGTTGGAAACACAAAATGAGACTGGTAAGACAGTTCTTCACTTGGCTGCTTGTATGGGAAGTAGAGAGATTGCAGAATGTTTGGTTAGAAAGAACAAAAAATTGCTTGAAATCCCAGATTGTGAGAAGAGGATCCCACTTGTATTGGCATGTGCCACATGCCATAAGTCTTTGACTCTTTATCTTTATTCGGTGACACCTATTGAAATTCTAGATCCAGTAAATGGAGACCGCGAATTCTTCCTCCTCATGGAGTGTTTAAGGAACCGTATGTTTGGTAAGAGCTGTGTGTAAATTTTAATTATTATTATTATTTTTTCTATTTCTCTTTGCTCTGCTTTTATTTGACCTTAATTTAATTCTCAAACAAACTGTATTTGAATCAGAGATTGGACTGAATCTGCTGCACAAATTTCCAGATTTGACATTTCACAAAAGCTCTTTGGAACCAACCCCTATTATTTCAGAGTTGGTCCAAATACTATCATCACTGTTTGCTGGGATTTGGTTCAGGCGTCTTCCATTCTGGGAATGGCCACTATATATAGTATTGTGTAAGTACGCTTCTCCTCTATTTACAATTTTCAATTGAATTTCTCTGTGGATATATTTTAATTCTGTTGTTTTTATCTTATATCTTGATTTTATTTTTTTGCTGTAAAAGTTGATAAGCACTTACTTTCAAATGTCTAATTTCATGTTTAAAGGTCTAAAGTTCAACTTTCATGAAAACTAATTGAGGACCAACTTCTTCGCTGAAAATTTAAAAAAAAAAGCTAAAGAAACTTATTCCATTATGATCAATTATGCTTCACTACATAACTGGCCCGGACTGCTTTCCTTTAGCTGCCAAATTTGTATGGTGTTCACTATTTTTATATATTTGAAAAATGATTCGGACACACTTGGTTTAATATACTTTCTAACATTTGTCTTAGTTTAGTTATTAAAATATAATATAAGTACTGTAATTCAATCGACTTTTACATACTGTATGTGTGGTTGCATCTTTAAGTTTGTCTTTGTGTAATGTATTAAATCAGAATATGTGCCAATCACTGTCTTATATATATATATATATATATATATATACATACACCTGCATCAAATATGAATCTAATTAGATTCCCAAAGCCAAGATTCATTGCAAGCATGCTTAGAACAAAACAACATGATTGCTATGCTCCCAAGAGAGTGGCCTAAGAACTTAGACTCTAACTTGAAGATCTCAAGTTCAAACCTTAAGTTTGGTAAAGAGGGAGATGGGAAAAGAGCTATCCAAGCTTCTATAAATATAATTGTTATAATATTTTCTCATATTCGTTTCTTTTCATATTTATTGGCTCCATACATCTAATTTATTGATTCTAACTGTAACTGAAGGTAAAGTACCTATCATTGAGGATCTGCTGGTTGGTGATAAATGGAAAACCCTCCTAAAAAAGCCAGGTATATTATTCATGCCAAAAGTTAAGTGGTGGCTGTTGTGCTGTGAAATTAGTTAACTCAATAGTTGAATAAAATTTGTACCGTGGGTTCTCCTTCAGTCCTTTGTGGATTGGTTTAATGCTAGGAACTACACAGTTCCTAGGAACAACACAATAACTTTTCCATTCAATGGAGCAGGTTTCTTAATCAGTTTGATTCTGTTACTTATAAATTTCCATTTACACGATTTTTACTCTTAACTAGGTCGGTCACTAGCATATAATCTAACGTATGACCGTGCCTATGCCCGTGAGAAGGTACATTTCATATGTGAGCAACTGTCAACTTTAGAAAGAGACCAACTTATAAGAAGCGGAGCAGTGGAAGCTACCTTCAAGGCTATCGAGCTTGGCTACCTTGACTTAATTTGTAAAACAAATTACAGAAGTTAATCCCGACATAGTTTGGAGCTATGACTCCGAACACTCAAGAGACATGTTAATGTATGCTGTAGCACATCGTCAAGAGGAAATTGCCAAGTTTCTTTATGGACTAAATGCGTGAAGGAACATGACGGAGTTTACCACAGATGACGACCAAAACAATATGTTACATCTGGCCGCAAAGGTACCTCCCAGCTCTCCCCCTATTCATCATTTCCCTGATCCCGTTCTTCAGATGCGAAGCGAAGCCAGGTGGCTTTATGATCTCAATATATTAGTACTTATCTAGTGAACATCTTAAAAATTAACAGTAAAATCACTTTTAAATTATATTATAATTTCAATGAGATATCATTAAAAAAATAATATTGTTAATATTTTAAAAATAAATTATTTTAATCTTTTTTAATGAAATGTTATTAAATCAACATAATTTTTTAATAATATCTCTTAATTTAATTTAATTTTTAGAAATAAACACTTATATATCTCTATATAGTTAATATGATTTAAATATGGTTGTCATTTTCAATGATTAATTAGTTTTTCACTTAACAAATTAATTATTTCAGGTGGTTGCACACATTATTCTAAAATTTTATAAAAAACAGAAAAATAGCGATGGCGAATCCCCTTTGGAAGTGTTTAGGAGAGAACACAAGGATTTACTTAAAAAAGCTCAAACGTGGGTAAAAGAGACGGCAAGTTTTGCCGCAATTATAGGCACTCTCATCGTTGGCATTATGTTTGCAGCAGGTATTACCGTTCTTGGTGGTAATAATAGTGGGGATGGCTTCCCCATATTCTCTAAAAGAGGATATTTTAGGCTATTCATAGGATGGGATGTAGTTTCTGTCTATTTAGCATCTCTTTCAATCGTGTTGTTTTTGGATATCCACAAATCGAGTCTTACCGAAGAAGATTTCCTACGTGGATTCTTGACTTACAAGTTGGCCATGAGCTTTTATTTCCTCTTCTTGTCCATTGGAATGACGCTAGTTTGCTCTTTCGCTTCTATTAAACTTGTGGATCGCCGATTAACTTGGCCGCCATTTATTCTTTTTTTTTTTTTTTTTTATCACTAGTAGCTGTATGTATGTCTACGTTTCTCTAAAACACCTTCTACCTCTTATTAAGATTTTATGTTTCCCTCTTTTTTTCAAAACAGAAAGTAAAGTTTTGACTTGTTACCAGATTTCATCTTTGAAAAAGTTCCCCATCCTGCGTCAATATATATGTGGCTAAATATCATCACTTCTTCTAGTGTACTAGAACCTAAATTCGGCGTTGCTTGGACTCACGTGCTTCTTTCCCACGCTGCCTTTTTTTTTTTTTTTTTTTTTTTTTTCTGGATTTGGATGTGCCCTGTATTTATTGTAATATTATTAATGTTGAAGTTTGTCTTGACATTGTCTTTTAATTTAAATTCACAGCTACGGTATATCAATAATAATTCAGTATAACTTTTTTTTTTTTGTTTTGGTATATGTTATAACTATTAATTGTTATGTTCGGTTTATACATCTAACTTTTTTTTTATCGGCAAAAAATTTATTTTTATTAAAAATAGTTGATACATTTAACTCTTATTAGCAACATGTAAATTTGTTTTTTTAATGTATTTTTCAAATGTATTTGATTTTTATTAATTAAAAAATAATAATTGTTATGTCTTATAAAACATAAATATTAACACTCACAGACTCCCTGACACTCTGTAGTTTGGAGTGGTGGCCCCACTTGCCGATTGATCAGTCAAAATTACCTTACTTTTAAAATTAAAAAAAATAACTATTAAAAAATTTTCAAAAAATAAATATTAACATTTAATCAATAAATGACATATTGTAATTGTTCTCCATAACTGTAAGTGTAATGCGAATATTCTGGAGTCTGGACCCCTCATAGACTCCTTTACAGTCTGGACTTTGGAGTGGTGCCGCCACCTGCCTATCGATGAGTCAAAATTAGCTTACTTTTAAAATTAAAAATATAAATATAAAATTTTTTTCAATAAAATAAATA